GCTTCAGTGAGGACATCTTTGTGGATCACCATAAAACTCAAGTGTAATCTACAGTAGGTTATAACCAGTAAGTTGTACCACCCAGCAATATGAAAGATGGGTTTATTTTTCTTCAATATGTAAGATGGAACATTTGGCATTCTTAATAAAATCCATAAATAGTGTTTTTCTAAATTCATGATTTTCTTATCACCATTTCCTTTCTTGTTCTATTACACAGCCCAGAATTTGGTATCTACTTTTCACATACATTATGTAAATAAAGCTTTCTATTTTAAAATAAAGATGGCATGTGAAAAAACATTGAATAGCTTACAAAACTGAAACGGCACCATCTGTCTACACAACATCATTCTAAAATACATGACATCTTTGTCTACCAAATTTCTCAAACTATATTTTAAATTTCTTATGTAAAGTATCCAAAACAATACAGAGTAATACGAAGCACATTCCATGTGGCAAAGAGTACTGATTGTACACAATTCTTGATTCCTTCCCCATCTTGAAATGGCTTCATGGTGGTGTACCTGCTTACTGACTTTGTGCTTGATTTTGTGACTTGCTCTAACCATTCAATGCGTATTGATATAATGAACCATATCCAACTAGGCTTTTAACATGTATGTATGGTTTGGCATGCATATATAATCCTTCCCTAAACTATGCAAGTATTACTTCCCGGTTAAACATCAGTCCTGGAATGTGAGACACGTGGAGGAGACATGAACCTACCAACAATCTGAAGCAGAGTTACACCAACCAAGGAGCACTCTCTTCAATGAAGAACAAATCTTTTGTTCTTGAAGAAAAATCATTGAGATTTTTGATGGTTTGTTAAACGTAACTTTAGAAAAAATGATTAATAGACTTCACAACTCAAGAGTATCATAATAACCAAATTAAAGTCCTAAAAACAGATCACAAAAATCCATTAGCATTCTTGAAAAGCCTCAATTGTTTTTTCAGCATGATTTCCTTAGTATATACACTCTTCTTAATTTATAATCTTGTTGAATATTAACTATGGGAATCACTTTTGACTACTTTCCATTCTCCCTTAATGAATTAAGACCCTTTCTCCTGGCCATTTCCAATGCAATCTGGTGTAATTCATAATTACTTGAATTCAGACATATAACAACCAACAGACTTATTGACTGCCATATGTATTTAATGATGTAATTAATAATGAGCTTGTGTGTATATGTGTGTATGTATTTTGAACATCTTCTGGATTTTTGCACTACCATTTTCAAAGAAAAAAATAAAGTTTTGAATCTATTTTCAGAGAACAAAGATAGCTAACATGCAGTTGGAAATAGATAATACACTGGTGAAGCAACTCCTGACTTATTAATGACTAACTCTACTACAAAGGAATATTGTTAGAATCTTTTTCATACGAGAGTGGGACCTTTCTGGATTTGTAGTTAAGGGGATAAAGCACTTAAAGTAGCCCACCCAGCTATCATTTTTTTTTTGTTTTTTGTTTTTAATTTTTTTAACGTTTATTTATTTTTGAGACAGAGAGAGACAGAGCATGAACAGGGGAGGGGCAGAGAGAGAGGGAGACACAGAATCCGAAACAGGCTCCAGGCTCTGAGCTGTCAGCACAGAGCCCGACGCGGGGCTCGAAGTCATGGACCGTGAGATCATGACCTGAGCCAAAGTCGGACGCCCAACCGACCAAGCCACCCAGGCGCCCCTGATTTTTTAAAATGCCAAATTTGTCCCTGGGAAGATCTTCAAAAGATAGAATATCACTTATTGTATATTAGTACTGTCACATAGTTAACTAGAAGAACAATGCTTGACCAAGCAACTCTGGTGAAAAAAGTCAAGACAAAGCAGCTTTAAGCATTCATTGTACAAAGTCATAGATATTATAGCTCAACATATCCTTAAATATCATTCTAGGGGCACCTGGGTGGCTCAGTCACTTAAGCATCCAAATCTTGATTTTAGCCCAGGTCATGATGTCAGGGCCCTGAGATCATGCCCTTGTTTGGGTCCACACTGGGCGTGGAGCCTGCTTAAGACTCTCTCTCTCCCTGTCCTTCTACTCCTCCCCTGCTTGCATATGTGTGCTCTTTCTCAAAAAAAAAAAAAAAAAAAAAAAAAAAAAAAAAAAAAAAAAAAAAAAAAAAATTCCAGGCCAGGGTCCAAAGGCTAAGATTCTTAACTAAAATGAGTATTTTAGTAAAACAAGAGGTATGTGACTTCTGTCATAGATAAGCTCCATGTAATTTTGGAGAATGAAAAACTACATCCAGGGAAATGAAATTACTTGCTCTAGGACACAGCTATTATTTCCAGAGTAAGAACAATGCTAATATTTTATTGGTCCATTTAATCATTACTGTGGAAGGTACACCGACAAACTGTGACTTCACGGGATGGTTCTGCTGCTTCCACAAAAAGTATCATGATTTTGGTTTATATTTTCTCCTGTGAAAATACATGGAATTTCAGGATTAATACATAGTGTACTGCAGTGAGTTTATCTTCTCAATAAGAACCTTGGGAAAAAGTAATTCACAAGAGCAGTGACTATGGAGATGCTAGGACAACAGAAGGGAGATGATTATATATAGGGAGAAAAACTCTATTAAAGTGTAATTTCTGAGCACACAATTTATCCAAGAACCATAAATGCTTTCAATATTAAAATTACCTTATCTGATTTTTGATAACTGTAATTTTTCTTAAATACTGAATTTTTCTCAATATCAATTACTGACCAACATACATTTGGGACAGAAAGAGGCATGCTATAGGGGCACTTGTACCCCAATGTTCATAGCAGCACTCTCAACAATAGCCAAATTATGGAAAGAGCCTAAATGTCCATCAACTGATGAATGGATAAAGAAATTATGGTTTATAGACACAATGGAATACTACGTGGCAATGAGAAAAAATGAAATATGGCCTTTTGTAGCAACGTGGATGGAACTGGAGAGTGTGATGCTAAGTGAAATAAGCCATACAGAGAAAGACAG